GAGTCTTCGTTTAATGATAAGAGTCGACCAATCTCCACTAAACTCACTACACACAAGTGTAGATGACAACTCCACGACTGTGTTCACTATAGGAAAAGACCACGAAAGAAGCTCTTCTAATTTAGCATTAGAGCTTGTCTATAATGCAAGAGATTCATACAGACATGAAGCTCATCTCTTCGAGATTCCCGTTTTAACAATCACTTCGAAAGAAAGATCTATGGTTTAGCTTCTGAGTGTCCTATCTGAACCAAAGACACCTAACTCTCTAACGAACTTTGAATTTCGAAACTCAATCAAAAGCAGAAGCAGAAACTCTCTTTCAGACATAGAAGGAGTTGTGTCAGGGTCGTTTAGTCAGCTCTAGATATGTTCCGACAGCGCCGTCGCGCACGATAGGAATCGTATCGCGTGAATTTTCAATTTCTTCCGGTCGAGCGGCTTTAGTTCCATATTATTTAGAGGGGTGAATGAAAGGGTTGCCCCCTAGGGGTGAACCCAAGAATTGTTCTTTATAAACCCAAACCGATATATAATTTCGTTTAATTACAAAATCTAAACTCTAATTCTCCTTTGTAAACCCAAACCGTCATTTAAACTCGTTTAATCGTAAAAAATCTAAACCCTAATTCTCCTTTGTAAACCCAAACCGTCATTTAAACCGTCGTTTAATTGTAAAATCTAAACTTGTTTATAAACCCAAACCGATAGTTATCCTCGTTTAATCATAAAATCTAAACCCTAATCTTTCTAATAAACGTAAACCGATACATAATTTCGTTTTAGTGGCAAATTTAATTTTATAATTAAATAAATTTTTTATTATTATTAGGTGACATATTTTAATTGGATGAAATAAAGGGGTGAACCTCTTATAATCACAGCTATAATAAAATAAATACAAATAACAGCTATAATAAAATAAAGACAAATTCTAATGCGATTGATTTGACAGTCTGTAATCTGCACATTCTATTTTCTATTTTTTTTTTCCAAAAGTTCTCGAAGAAAAGCACATACCAAAAGCTTTATTTTGTTTTCCTTTAAATCTATAGGGTCTTAACAATTTTATTGGTCAAGGAACGCAATTGTTAATGATGAACATTGTGTTCAGTTTTAAAGTTCAGATCTTCGGTACAGGATTCTATTCACTTGCCAATCTTATTGAATTTTTCGGGTTGGCCGATAAATAAATCACTTGACTAATCCTTTTTTCATTTAAAGATATGCAAGATATTCCATAAAAAGAGCTACATGTAAAACGGAATTGTTGTAACTATATAAAACACAGTTGATTCTTCATTCTTTTTTTGTTTGTTATTTGGCAAATAAATGAAATAATTTGTAGTAGCTTAAAGAATTTGATATTAAAATTTTATAGTGTTTAAAATTCAACTTCCAACCAAACCAAATATTAAAAATCCTAAGGTGATTTGGTTTCAATTTAAGAAATACTACTATTTCCATATTTTTCTAATCCACATGACATAGTAAATCCTCTTAGACCTTCTAAGTTTGGTGATACATAATTAAAAAGGAAAAAAAAGTTAAATCATAAAAAGAAAATTAGAAAAATAAGAGAAGTAGCTCCTCTTTAAAAACCCCATTATCTCTATATCTTCTTCTCCTTGCCATTTTTCTCTCTATCATCTTCTTCTTCTCCTTAACATGGTTTCATTCATTGCATTTTTCACTTTCCTGGTTCTTATTATCGTTATTATCACTAATCAACCTCAGCCGACAGCAACCGTGGATGAAGATATTGAACAAGGTGATCCTTCTCATTCAATTGGCGGAGAAGAAACTCCTATCCAGAAGTGTCCTTTACCACCTCGCCCTCCAACTGAGAGGCCGTCATCGTCGCTAACACCTCCTGAGACACAAGTCCCAAGAAATTCCCCAAACAGGAGGCGTAGTAATGTAAACCCTGAAGCATCATCATCCTCTTCTGGTCAGGACAATGCGTTTCTTAACCTCGCTCCAAGACACTTTCAGGAGAGACGTAACACCCGGTTGGTACCCGAGCCGCACCAGATGGATGCGATCAGCTGGGTTTCTCTGGGTTACTGTCTCAGCGCTGGCCTCGAGTTTAATAGTATCTACGCCCAAGTTAATGATCCCAGAAACTTAAGCCCACGGTTCATACTAATTTCCATGCTAACTATGAATGCGTTGTGTTTACTAATCGGAGCCAACGCGGTATTAGCCCCAGGCCCGTGGCTATTCAGTAAAATAAGAAACACTGGCAGGGGCGGACCCACTAATTAAGAAGAGAGGAAGGTCAACTGACCTGGTAAAATCTATACTATATAAAAGTCGAGGCTATAAGCTCCTAAAACCGTCCTCGTGGGATTTTAAACCACCAATCATGATTAAACACTTCATCAATTAACATTTTTAGCCATCATTGTAGTTAACATTTTTACATTCTAATATTTTCTATATTAGAATCTTATGAATAGGAAAAAAAAACAATATATATGTAAAGAAGAGAAAAATGTCAAATGTTGAAAAACAACATATAGAAATTTTTGGGTTTAAATGAAAAGGAAAAGGTTAATAATGAAAAGAAAAAATTTTACTTAACAAAAAAAAAAGCAAGAAAGTTTCTAAATACTAAAGTATTAGTTTTCTGTATAAATAGCGTTCTATAATTTAGAATAGAACAAAAAATAACATACTTTCAATTCTTGCAAAAAAAAAGCTCAAAGAAGAAGATCTTGGTTTAGAGGATGAGCGAGATGTTATTTTTGACTCTGATCATCAAACTGAAGAAGCAACTCGACCTCAGTTTGTAGAAGTATTTCGAGTTTCGCTCAATGTGACTTTTGAAGATCCTAGGTTTTGACTTTGAGGATGAGCACGAGCTTAACTTTATCTATGACGAAGAAGCTCCATCTTAGCTTGGAGAAGTTTTTTGAAACAAAAGCTTAGAAAAGTTGTTCCATTCTACGTGTTTCTGTGCTTATTGGTTGAACACGATGATAGTTTTGACTTTGATCATTAGATAGTGATGTCGTCGGTGAGAATGACATGTACACTATTTGTTTGGAAGAGTTTGACGATGGAACAACCGAACAAGTATCATGATTTTACCATGTGGACACATGTTTGACAAGGAGTCTATTATAGAGTGGTTTGTGAGAAATCATATCCATCCATTGTGTCGTTTCGAATTGCCACGTTAAAGATGAAGGGTGGCGGATGGGTCGAAAAGGTTACTAAATTTTGTATAAAGGATTTGTGCAAGATCATAGATTATTTTTTTGTAAATCGTTTTTTGTGGTTCTATATATGCTCTCGATTTAATTTATAGTATTGGACTCTCATTCAAGAATCATAACTATTCTGATCATACTCGATTATAGTATAGACTTAAATAATAGAAATGTAAATTTTGAAACACGACATATGCATATTAAAAATGTAAAATTTAATTACTGTAATATAATATAAAAAGGAAATATAATTATTAGTCTCATAACGTTAGCTTCCAAATAAATTAGGAAACTTTCCTAATTCAAAATAATATAGTTAATTAACGTGAGAAAGTTTAAAAAATAAGAAAATTATGACATAATTTATATTAGAAACAAATATTAACTTAATATTATATTAAAAAAATTGTTAATTGAAACTTATAAGGTAGTGAGTTCATTCACAACTATACATAATCATCAATAACTAAAATATTGCGAGATGCTTGAGATTTCAGCAATAGTGTGGTGATACGAGTCTGAATTCGACGAATTCGAACTAAGAGAACGATAAAGAATCGTGCTTCTCATCAGCAGCCATGTTTCTCTCTATATAAGTCTCTATTTTTTTTTTTTTTTTTTACATAGCCACCATGTTTTTGGCCAACTTAAAATTTCTCAGTAAAATATATATATTTTTTGAAATTTTATGTCTTTGATTAGATTTCACCTGTCCCGATTAGCTTTTTTTGCAGCGGCTAGCACATAAGTTTTTGGGACGTCGCGGTTTTCCTACACCCAAAAAATCTTTTGAATTATCACTAAAAACAAATAAGTTCTTGCGGTTAAGGGTAAAAATGGGGAGGTGTCAACCCAGATTTTTAGTCAAGAATATATTACTCTATAATTGCTAGATTAATAGCAAAAACATTTTACTAATAGATAAGAAAAATACATGTATGCCTAAATTTGTACATGTTTTGATAGTTTAATTTCTAATATTTTATATACTTTCTTTACTAATAGAAAAATCTTTAATAATATAAAAAAAAATAAGAGAAAATCATACATCATATTTGTAATATGTTTTGCAACAAATTTTATCCTATAAACTTTTTCCTTTCTTATTAAAACAAAATTTTAAATAGCATTATAATATGTTTGCATTACTAATATCAATCTATAGCTACTTAAATGATTACTAACCCTAAAAATATATTTAAACTATGGCTAACAACAAACCCCCATGTAGCGGGGGTAAATAACCTAGTAATGATATAAATATTTTTCTGTAAAGGATCATAAAGAAACTGCAGCTGAGTTGGCAATTCTGAGTTAAATGACCCCCCAACACTAGTTCGATTCCCAGTTTGACATCTTTGGTTATATTTTTTACTTTTCTTTTTTATTATGACCTGGGTTAAAAAAAATTCTGGGTCCGCCGTAGGCTATGGCCTTTAATTTTTTTTTAAAAAATATAGGAAGCCATAGGTGTTATCGTGAAGTTATAATAGGTATTAACCTTTAATTTTTTTGTAAAATATAGGAAGCCATAGGTGTCCTAGACTAAAGGAAACTATAATAAACATACAAATATAGAAGATCTTTTTTTTTTTTTTTTTTGACATCTGTGAATCGACAAGGCCCGATCCATAGCCAATCCCTACTACGCGGGGTAACGCGACTGAGTGGAGTCGAACTCCGGTGGGGAAAGCGGAGTCCAATGGACTTAACCACTTGACTAAAGGCACATCCCCATATAGAAGATCTTTAAAATACAAGGAGTAGTTATAAGTTATTACTAATAGCACTAATAGTATATTTACAAATATATCTATCAACACCGTTAAAAAATTTCAATTTTTTTTTATTTCACATATTAGTCTTTAATTACAAAAAATTAGTTTGATGCTTAAATATTTTACCAAAATTTAAGCAAAATTCTTTTGTAATAATATTTTGACATATTAGTCTTTAATAAATTTTATTTAAATTTTGCTTAAATTTTGATAAAATATTTAAACATCAAACAAAATTTTTTTTTCGCCTATGGCATGAAAAATCTTAGGCACGGCTCTGATTAGCCCGTACGAATCCAAGAGTTGCGTTTGCACTGGATAGATCAGGAGTCGTCCTTGTGTTAGTAACTTCCATCCTCGCTGCTAATCCAACTTTACCATTACCTTTAGCTCTACCGATTTTACTGGTTTTAGTCTTATTATATGCTCTTCTTCAGTTTGTCTATTATTTTTAAATAAAATTATTGTCCTCCTATTGTTGCCTATTTCTTTTATTTAAATGTAAACCGACTGGTGCACCAAAAAAAAAAAAATTGTAAACCGACGTTAATTATATATTATAGAAAGATTTTATACATTTTGGGAAGAGTTTCCTTTGAAAATTTGTTCATATGGAAATGTTGTGATCACATGCTTTATCGTAGGAGAGTATAATTTGGACAGCTGATCTTGATGTAATATTGTTCACAATATTCCTCCAAGAGCGCGAAATAAATGATCCAATCTACGAATCCCAAATTATTCGAAATTTTACTAAGCAAACCGGCCATGAGCTCAGCTGGAAAAGTTTAGAAAAGAGAATTTCTTATCTAAATAGTTTGTACATCAGCATATGCAAGACATGTACATGGCATCCAGAAACTGGAATGCCCACAATGACTAACGAAGTGTGGGCACAGTTTACTAATGTGAGTACATATTTGTTTCTTTTCAATTCTTGTGAATTATTTGATTTCAAAAAAAAATAGTTTTTGTTACATTTTAAAATTTAGTTATAGGGTATATCTAAAACTTTTTGTTCATTCATTATTTCAGAGACATCCCGGATTATCAATGCCACTACTTGAGTTATTTATAGACGTAATGACATCAAAGCTACAATCCAGTTCCAATGACTACTCTACTCAGAATTCCAATTGCTTCGTTCCTCAGATGAATCTCGCTCCTCCCCATTGGCGAGAGTCGCGGGGGAAATTTGTCGATAACTTGTATCATTTGATTGAGAATATCTTTTCGACAAAAAAAGAAGACGGGTTAATGCTCGCCCCTCATATGAATAAGTCTCCTCCCCCATAGGCGAGAGTTTCTGGAAAAACTTCTCATTAGAAAATAAGGCAACAAAACAAAGACAATAATATAAATTTTAATTAACAACAAATATATATATAGTCTAGTTTTTATTTCTGCTTGTATAATCTCGTTCAATAAACTCTCATAATTGAGGTTTGTAACTAATTATATCTTTATATATAAAATATATAGCCAAGGTATTTAATAGAATCTTTTCATCTTCTTGATTGCAAGTAAGACTATCAAACTTTAATTTTGAAAGATATCTATTAGCAGAAACAACTAAGACATGAATCATCAACATTATTCGTAACCATATCATGAGTTTAGAACTTTAGATATATAAACAACCTCTCAATATTTTCATGAAATGTAATTCTTCCCTAGATCTCTTCTAGTTTCTGGGCAAAATCTCCATTACAACTTTTAGCAAAAACATAAATAATTTCTAACAACAACTTAATGAATCTCATGTTTTGAACATTAAATTATCATTACTCTCTGACATCAATTTCTTCTGATATCAATTTCTTCAAATCAAATAGAAGCAAAATGTTTGTTCATACTTCTCAAACTGTTCAATATTTTTTAATCTCAAGTGGTTAAAGAGTTTTAATATACGTTTTAGTGAAACTCGAAGAGCATATCGCATATGAAAGCTTGTATATGTTATTATATATGATCAAAACGAAAGGAGTGATGATTTTCTAGCGGCATTTAGGTTATAATGAAAGCTAGTGATGAATTATGTTTTCTTTTTTTGAACAAGGAATTATGTTTATATAGGGGATTGTATCACTTGGGATTTCATGCGGAAAGATGAGATTACCGCTAATAATGTTTCTAATGGGAACATAAACTACATCAGGAGTCAATACAAAGATGTAGAAAGCTATAACTTGGCACTAGGAGCTGCTGATGTGGCGTGGCGAAGAGGCAGGTAGTTGACTTGGCATGTGGATCTATGGCTGTTACTAAATATTCTCTATGACAGGTTTGGAAAGGGGTAAACTTGACAAACAAGTATATTCTTTGTGTGGAGATTATTTAGAAGATTTGTTAGGGTTTTTGGGGTTATTATAAGTAGTTTAGGGAGGACTTATGCCGGCAATAACACTTAGACAACTTGTACAAAGTTTGTAAATTCAAAATTTTTAAAACAGCAAGCTTAGAAGGTGAGTGTTCATAATCTTTATTTTGTTTCAAGGTTGGGTGAACATGATAAAAAATAAATAATTAGGCTTACACTAAATTTTAGTCGGGTTTTACGAAAGGATAGATTAGGTGTGAGTAATTTTTGATTAAGTGTAATCATTGTACACTTAAAGAAAATCTTGTATATAAGTGTTGGATTTGACACTTTTGAAGAAGTCAAGGATTTGTGTTGTTGAGTTCTTTGTACGTTCAAAAAGAATGAATTGTCAATTCATATTTCTGTCTTTGAATAATGAATGTCTTGCATGCATCATTCAATTTTTTTGCTACTAGTATGAATACTCAATTATTAGTTATTACTATGAAAGATTGCCTATTGAAGGTGATACATTAATGACTTTTACATGCGGATGCATATCTTTTTTTTTCTTTTTTTTTTGTGTAAAGTGGATACATATCTCTAACTATAAATTTCAAAGTTAACAACTTGAAGTCTTCTCACAAGTTCCAACTACAGAAAACAAGCCTTTTCTTATTTACCAAGGTAAAATTTTCTATTGGATTTGTTTTCAAGAGATACTCTAAACTACCTTCATATATAATAATAATAATAATAAAATTTTCAAAAATATCATAAGATTTGAATATGTATCCATAAACCATAATCCCATATTTCTATTACCACAGTTTTTTTCCTTTTTTCTTTTGTTTAGGAACCATTCGAAGAATTTCAGAAAGATTTTCTAAAATACAAGGGTTTTGATATTCTTGAAGTTTTCCTCAATTTTATTTTCTGTCATCAGAGTTGTGGTATGGTAATAAAACAAACTTAAGAAGTGCTGTTTTCTAGAATGCTTCTATTTAAAACTGGTAAAATTACTTATCTATTTTTTTTAATTTCTATTACTTTATTATATCCATGTCAAAAGCTTATATAGTCAAAAATGCGTCGCATGTGTTGTATCGGTAACAATGCTACAGTAAGTAATTATTTTCCATAACTTAACAATGTGTACTATATGGACTATGATTGATATATATACATATTACCTATATAATCGTTGCATATATATTATATCGTAGGAGAATATAATTTGGACACCTGATCTTGACGTAACGTTTTACACAATGTACCTCCAAGAGTGCAAAATTAATAATCCAATCAACAAAACCCAATTTATTCAAACTTTTGCTGAGCAAACCGGTCATGAGCTCAGCTGGAAAACTTTTAAAAGGAGACTTTTCTATCTAACTAGTTTATACACCAGTATACGTAAGTCATGTACACCAGATCCAAGAACTGGAATGCCCACAATGACTAATGAAGCGTGGGCACAAATTACTAAGGTGAATAAACTTTTTGTTTCTTTGTTAATCAATTGATTTCGATATTTTTGTTACACTTGAAATTTTTGTTTTAGAGTATGATTAAACTTTTTTATTCATTATTTTAGAGACATCCTGAGCTGTTGAATCCAAGTTCAAAACCACTAGTTGATTTATTTATACAAAGATTGACATCGAGGATACAGTCCAATTCCATTGACGTTGCTCCCGTCTCAAGTGACTTTGATCCTTACATGATGGGTCTAATGATGCTCTACATGTAGGAGAGCCTAATGCAGATAAAAGCATTCTCTATCTAGGTTTATGCTAGATATTGAATTTGTCTATCTATAGATCCCTAATTTAACTATTTTTATCACTTTTTTAAAATTAATTTTTATTTCGGCATATTATAGTTTATCCATTTAACAAAATACTATATTATACTGTACAGATGTTTAGTTAACTTGTATTATGTAGACCCGGAAAGACTTTCGAGAAAACGTTAACTCCAAATATTTTATGATCCTCTCTTTGGTCAAATAGAAAGTTACATATGCTAAAAGTACCCATAAAGATATACAACTTAAAAAAAAAAACTCTTGTTCTTTAGGAAAATTTAACAGTTTGTTTAGATAGTGTAACATGCGATTCATTAAAGTTCACAAAAAGCATCCAAAATTCTATAGAATTGTCAAAGAATTACAAGAATAATAATAAATAACTGAAAAGATTCTCCCTATATACAATAGATAAGTCGTCTGTGTAGCAACTAGCAAGATATGTTGTTTGTTTATGACACAAACTAATTCCCAAATACGAAGGGCGTGACAGAGATTATTTGCAAAATGCGTACATGCAATTTTTTATTATCTTCCCAATGACTGGAAGTAATTAGTTGGCTTGTTTCAAAATTTTATCCTTTTATGTGATGTGTGGAACGAAAAAAAAAAAAAGAGTTTAATTATGTGTGAGTGAGTTCGAATATATTAAAGTGAATATGCTCGTAGGACTATTGTGGCAGCCATATCACACAGACAATCTAGCTACTTACAGCTAAAAAAAAAAAAATTCATCTTTTCTTTGAACAAGATCTCGAGAGCATGAAATCAAATGGCAAAATAAAATTTGTCTTCAGTTTTTCTCTGATATTCGAAAGCATGAAAGAAAAAGCTCTTTTTGATTTTTTTTTATTTTTAGAAAGCATAGTTTAGTTGGTCGGACTCCGACAAACCCTAAACTACTTGGAGAGTTGGAGCTAATTAAAACCAAACTTTTCTTCATAGTTGGAGCTAATGCGATGGGCTGAACTTCAAATTTCATGTTAGCCCAAATGATACCTTCAGTAATGCGTGGCCTTTTCGGAAGGAAAGAAAATAGTCAAAAACTATAAAACTCACAAGAAAATAGTCAAGTGCCACTTAGTAGTACTTTCTTTTTCTTAAAATGTCGTAATTATTTATTTTTCTATGTCTAATTTTTCTTAAAACAAAAGAGATATTTCTATAAATAATTATGTTTAAGAACAAATTTTCTCTCTCAATAATTTATAAGCCATAAAGCACATGATCAAAAATTTCCATACGAACAAATTTTCAAGACAATCTTCCCAAAATATGTAAAATATATATATATTAAAGTCGGTTTACATTTTAAATAAGGAAATGGGCAACAATATGAGAACAGTTAAAATTAAAGTCGGTTTACATTTTAAATAAGGAAATTGGCAACAATAAGGAAACATTATTGTTTAGTACTAAGGATGATCAAGGGCAAATTGAGCAATATATATAGGCTAATATTAGACCCAGTACATACGCTACAGCGTATGGTAATGGTAGAGCTGGATTCGCAGCTAGGATAGAGTTGACTAACACGAGAACTGACCCAAGTCTATCCAGCATAAACGCAATTCTTGGCATCGTACGAGCCAATATTGCATTTGCTCCAATTAGATTCATGAGCGCAGACATGTTGATCACAGACATATATATCAACCTTGGGGTGAGTTTGAATGGATCATTATGCGCTTGTGCGTATATGCTGTTGAACTCAAGCCCTGCCGTTAAGCAATAGCCCAGTGCCATCCAACTCAGTGCGTCCATATGGTGAGGCTCGGGTACTAACTCGGGGTGATCTCTCTCATGATGATGCCTTGGAGCAATGTTAAGGAATCGATTGTCATTACCACAATAGGATGATGATGCTTCATGCCTCCTATGTTGTGAACTGCTCGGTTGTCTCTCCGGTGGTGGTAAAGACGATGAAGATGGTTGTGTCCCATTTGGAGGATGAGGTATTGAAGAAGATGAAGATGGCTGCCTCATTATCGGAGTGTGAGGTCTTGAGGAAGATGAAGATGGCTGTGTCTCGATCGGAGGACGAGGCCGTGAGGAAGATGAAGATGGCTGTGTCTGCATTGGATGGTGAGGTCTTGAGGAAAAGGAAGGTGGCTGCGTCTGCATCGGAGTGTGTGGTCTTGAGGAAGATGAAGATAACTGCATCGGAGGACGAGACCGTGAGAAAGGTGAAGATGGTTGTGTCTGCATTGGAGGGTGAGGTCTTGAGGAAAACGAAGGTGGCTGCGTCTGCATTGGAGGGCGAAGTCGTGAGGCAAACAAAGATGGTTGCGTCTGCATTGGAGCGCGAGGCCGTGAGAAAGATGAAGATGGTTGTGTCTGCATTGGAGGGTGAGGTCTAGAGGAAAACGAAGGTGGCTGCGTCTGCATTGGAGGGCGAAGTCGTGAGGCAAACAAAGATGGTTGCGTCTGCATTGGAGCGCGAGGTCATGAGGTAGATGGTTGCGTCTGCATTGGAGCGCGAGGTCGTGAGGTAGATGAAGATGGATGCGTCTGCATTGGAGGAAGAGGTCGTGAGGTCGCTGAAGATGGTTGCGTTTGGTTTGGTGTTTCGTCCGAACGTTGGGTCGCTACAATAATGAAACAACAAGAACATGACGTGAGTAATAAGAAATCTAAAATCCAGAATAACTGTGTTACAAAGGAACCGACTTTGATCCTTAATTTTAGAGATTCTTAAAACTACTCATATGGTTAAAGTTATGTGTGTTGATAATATTTTCTTACTGTTTTAGCTAGGTTTAAGTGAACAGAGTACTAGTGGATTATTGAAATTAAAGACTTACATTCAACAATTAAAGGAGAAGTTGATTCTTGAAAAGACAATAATGAAACAACAAGGACATGATGTGAGTAAAGAATAAAATGTAAAATCCAGAATAACAGTGTTACAAAGGAACCGACTTTGATCTTTAATTTTTTTAGGTATTCTTAAAACTACTCATAATCTCATATGGTTAAAGTCATGTGTTTTGATCATAAGTTTTTACTGTTTTAGCTAAGTTCAAGTGATAAAAAGTACAAGCTGGAGATTTAGTGGATTATTGAAAGACTTATTAGAATCAACAATAGAAAGAGAAGTTGATTATTGAAAAGACAACAATGAAACAACAAGGACATGATGTGAGTAAAGAATAAAATGTAAAATCCAGAATAACAGTGTTACAAAGGAACCGACTTTGATCTTTAATTTTTTTAGGTATTCTTAAAACTACTCATAATCTCATATGGTTAAAGTCATGTGTTTTGATCATAAGTTTTTACTGTTTTAGCTAAGTTCAAGTGATAAAAAGTACAAGCTGGAGATTTAGTGGATTATTGAAAGACTTATTAGAATCAACAATAGAAAGAGAAGTTGATTATTGAAAAGACAACAATGAAACAACAAGGACATGATGTGAGTAAAGAATAAAATGTAAAATCCAGAATAACAGTGTTACAAAGGAACCGACTTTGATCTTTAATTTTTTTTTAGAGATTCTTAAAACTACTGATATGGTTTAAGTGATAAAAAGTACAAGATGAAGATTTAGGGGATTATTGAACGACTTACGTTCAGCAATTGAAGAAGAAGTTGCTGGAAGTTCAGTATCTTCTTCATCCACACATGCTGTCTCCAGATTTTGGTTACAAATAACAAAGAAAAAAACAATAAAACTTAGAAATCCAACAAAAGTCACCATTTTTACTTTGAGATGGAGAGACTGAGAGAAAATGGGGAAGAAGAGAGAGAGGGATATAATAGATTCAAAGATATAGAGGAACGATTTCTCTTAAATTTTAGTATGAATTATTGTTAATTTTTTTATTTATTATGCATTAATATTTTTGCAGAGGTAAAGACTTAGTGGTATATAGTAGGCCCATGAGTGACATGGCTGCTTTAACAATGGAAACCTATTGGTTCACATGCATATTCTCGGTCAAAAGGTTTGTTGGATGAGATCAATAAACAATGAATCAAATACTTTAAGTATTATGTATAGAATCATAACTACTTCAATAACCATGGAATGCCCGAAAGAGAAATCCAATTCTAGTTATTTATTTTGAACCAGAAAACAAACAAAAATCACAAAGATGGCGGAAATAAGGAAAAAATGCGTTTTCAAACATTAGTTCTTTTGTTTTTGAAAAAAGTGTTCTTCTTAATTGAAATTTATATTAGGAAGTATCAGAGTATATGCAGTACCTTGTTGAAGAAGAAAGGAAGAAGAAGTGTTTAACAGAATGAGTATATTCTAAGCTTAATTTGAAATCATATATATTAACCCATTCCGAAACTTTAAACACAATTTATCTTTTCATAACTATATTATAGTTATAATAAATCTACAGTATAAATTGCTGTGCAAAAAAAAAAAATGAAGAAGAAGAAATACCTAGAAGTTGTTAGCAGTAAGTATACTGTATACAATAAGTAATCCTACGCAATATACGATTAATATTTGCATCAAAATTTCATAATTTGCAATTTTGTTCCCCTGACCCAATAAAATTATTTAGATCCTATAGTTTTAAATTTAAAACTTAGCGAAAATATATTAGAGCAAATATCTTAAATATTGGCATGTGCTTTCGTTCGAGAAATTTTGGAATACAAAAAATTAAAATTTAGAAAACAGAAACTGCAGAGTGCAGATAAAGTTGAAAGTGACATTTTTTTCCTTAATAAACTGTCAAATCAATTGTATTTGTCTTTGCTTTATTGTAACCGTTTATTTGTTCTTACGATTGCATTTTGATTTTCGTGTTATAAAATGCAATCGTAATTGAAACGGTAGATGCAAAAGTAAATATTAGGAAAAATAAACTCCAATAGACTTTGATTCTCTACATATTAACAAAAAGGGTGAATGAAATATATATACCTAGAGGATGAAGAAATTAAGAATCTATACATAAAGATATGTTATTTAGGTAAATATGAAAGAGAAATAAAATATAAACCAAAAATATCCTTCCTTTTTGAATTAATTATAAAAATGCCATTGATTAAAAATAATTGTAATATGCGGACGATAAATATATAACTATTTGTTTAACGTGCTAAAAAATATGATATTCCGATAAGTGTAAAAATTAATTGTTAGAAAAATGTTTATCGATTTAAAATTGTGAATCAGTATTTTTTATTTATGTATATATCAGCACAATAAAAAAGAATTAGACTTTTTCTTACATAATTAACATGATAAACAATTATAACAACATGTTATATAGAATAATAACATGCTAACATATTAAATATCGGAATAATATTAGTATAAACACGGTAAGATACAAGATATATGGATAATATTTATTTTAACGTGTAATTTATATATAATATTCACCAAAAATAATCAATAACGAGGTTAACGTGATAACGATGAAAATAACTTGCAACGAAAAATAACAAGTATTGTTTTAGATCTGCTCACCGACGAGATATACGGAGAAAACGGCGGTGCTTATAAAACTCTTAAGCCATCTCACCTTCACCGACGACATCACCATAAAATCATTTAGCTTGTCGCACCTCTCCGACGCCATCTCAATCCATGATTTCATTCACATCACCTTCTTTTTTCCAAACTCACCATCATCACTATCGTCGTAAATACTAAATACCATTTCTACTATCGTTGAGAACCCAAAAATTTAAATAAGAATGAGCACCACTTACAATTATAATAGAAAATTGAACCACTTTTCTTCTCCTTCTTTTCGAATACTTTTCTTCAAATCATGAAACAAAACAATTGAAGAATCATAGCGTCAGAGTAGTGATCTAGCGGTGGCACCACTGTAAAACTCTTCGCCGATATCATAGCCACCATCACTACAATTACATTCACTGACGAGAACTAAAAAAATTGCTTGTCACGACTCGACGAACCGGAATGAGCACGGCGGCATTACGATGATGTTGCCGATGAGTGGATGTGTTATCTCGTGTAGATCGTCGTGATTAGAGAGCATCGACGAATCGTCACCGCCGCATCTCTATTTGCTCGATTTAATTTTCTGCAGGATTTCAATTCTTAGTTTAATATAAGTTAGGGGCATAATTATCATAAAATTAAAACAGTAGAAGACAACAGTGTTTTTTTCTGTTAGTTAATTATCAATTCTTCTGAGTATAGATTGTGCAATTTCCCAAAATAAAGAAGGAGCAAAAACTATTAAAACAATAAAACCTCATATTGTTTTTTTGAGTCCAAAAATATTGTCAAAGTTGAAAGTGACTACTATTTTACTTTTTTCTGATGCTATTTTTTATAGTCAAAGTATATAATATCAATAAGCAAATATCTTTTTTTTTCTGATGCTAATATATTATGTTCACCTGTAGAAGAAACGTGGCGATCCTTGCTGACATGAAAGTAATAAAATGATAGTGAAAGTATCAGTAATTGAAAACCATTTATTAATTGGGAAAATTCCCAAAAAAAATCCGAAGTAATTTTTATTTGGACGTTTAATACCCAATTATTTTGGATTGGAATAAAAATACCTCAATTAATAAAATTTAGTCTAAAAATTCCTTATGTTTGACTTGTTGGTGGATTCAAACCTGTGATTTAACGTCCGTTAATGACCTTTACGGAATCAATAACCGGCGTTAAATTTTTCGCCCCCCTTCTTTATAAATATATATATATATATATATATAAGCATGTGTACAAAGCTTACTAATAAATTAGCCTAGTCTGGTGGTAAGAATTGTGTTTTGTCACCCACAGATCTCGGGTTCGAATCCTCCCCATTACCCACCATTGATTTTTTTTTTCCCGTTCCCTGCTGCCATTTCTCTCCTTCTCCTTCCTCCTCATTTAACCCAAAGCTCCATCGCCGTCGCCATCTCTTCTTAGTTAAACCCATCATCGTGATTCCCGTCGACTAGCTCGATTATCCTCTAAACTTTCTCCGATCTGCTTTCTCTAGTGGCCATTTGTACATGAAAGTTTCAACTTTTTTCTCCAAAATTAAGGCACATAACAAAAGATTGATGATAAGAAAACAACGATCTAATTACAGAACGCATAGATCTGGAATTGACAAAGTAAAAAAAAAAACCTAGATTTGCGTTACACAGTTCAGTGGAAGAAGGAGAGAAGGAAAAAAAAAAAAAAATCGAAAGTGGGAGGAGGGAGGATTCGAACCCGGACTGCAAGGGTGACAAAAGCGACCAGTCACCACCAGACTAGATGAATATATACTTTCTAATTGATAAAGAGATTGTATATATCTGTTAACCAGAAGGGGTTGAACTTTAACGGCAGTTATTGATTCCGTAACGGCCGTTAACGGACGTTAAATCACGGATTTAAATCCACCAACAAGTCAAACATAAGGAATTTTTAGACTAAATTTTATTAAATGAGGTATTTTTATTCAAATCCAAAATAATTGGGTATTAAACGTCCAAATAAAAATTACTTTCGTTTTTTTTTGGAAATTTTCCCTTTATTAATTATGGTAATTTTATGGTATGAATATTTTAACTTATTAATATGCTCCCTTCTTTCTTCCTTTTGCGGTTCTCACTATTGGGTTACATAGTTGGGCTTTTCGTTTGAAAAATCCTTGACTTTATGGGCTTCTTTTGTTAGTTTTTTTTTTAATGGTTTAATTTTTGATTCATTCAGGTACGGATAATGGTTTATTGTATTGAGATTGAAATTGTAGAAGAAAAAAAGAATTATACATATACCTCTTAAGCAGGGCCGGTCCGGTAAAATCGGAGGCCGAATACGAAAAAAAATTTTGAGGCCTTTTTAATAAGTAAAAACTGTTAAAATGTTTTTTTTTTTTGCTAAGTATGAGCCATTTACAATTTTTATTTAACATTTTTTCTTA